AAATGTTAGCTGAAGTAAAGTAGAGGCATGGTTGCGCTTTTAGAGGATTCCATTACTGAGGAAGAATTTCGCGGCGAACCTTCTTATAAACTTCTTATCGTTGACAGATGCCCCCTCGGGGTATTCTTAAGCCTCAAGATACCTTTTTACTTTGTGAAACCAAGGTTTGTCTGCTACCTCTTCAGTATCAATCTCACAACAATATGTTGGTTCATCCAACCTTCTAATGGTGATTCAGGGAGCTTCGTTGTCCCACCTAACCTTGAACATAGAAGACATGGTAGCTAGCGCATCCGCTAACTAATTCTCCTCTCATGGGAAATGTTCAAAGGTTACCTCCTCAAAGTGTGGGAGCAATGTCAGCATGTGCTCTTTGTACGGGATGAGATTTGGGTGCTTCATATCCCACTCTCCTTTGATCTGACTTATCACCAAGGCTTAATCTCCGAAAACGTTTAAGAACTTGATCCTCAGGTCGATAGAAGCTTTGAGACCCATGATGCAGGCTTCATACTCCGCCATGTTGTTGGTACAGTTGAAGCATAGTCGGGCAGTGAAAGGAGTATGACATCCTTCAGGAGATATAATTAAAGCACCAACGCCATTACTGAGTGCGTTCGAGGACCCGTCGAAAACCATGGTCCATCGGGATCGTTCTTCAGGTCCTTCATCCGGTCCAGGTTCTTCATAGTTAGTCACTAGCATAATATTCTCGTCCGGGAACTCAAAATTCATGGACTGGTAGTCATCCACGGCCTGGTGAGCCAAATGATCAGCCAATAAACTTCCCTTGATTTCTTTCTGGGTCATGTATTGGATATTGTATTCGGTTAAGATCATATGCCATCTCGCTATTCTTCCAGAGAGAGCGGGCTTCTTGAAGATGTACTTGATTGGATCCATCTTAGATATCAACAAAGTAGTGTGGGTCAACACATACTGTCTTAGTTTATGAGCAGCCCATGCCAAAGCGCAACAAGTTTTCTCAAGCAGTGAGTATCGTGTTTCACAGTCGGTAAACTTTTTGCTAAGGTAGTATATTGCATGCTCTTTTCGACCAGACTCGTCATGCTGCCCCAGCACACACCCCATTGAATTGTCTAATACTATTAAGTACATTATCAAAGGTCTTCCTTCAATCAAAGGCATCAGAATTGGTGGTTCTTGAAGGTATTCCTTGATTATTTCGAAAGCAGTCCGGAATTCGTCATTCCACTTTACCACTTGATCATTCTTCAGGAGTTTGAAGATCGGCTCACAAGTAGCAGTCAGATGTGAAATAAACCTGGCGATATAATTTAGGTGTCCCAAGAAACCTCTAACTTCCTTCTCAGTACGGGGAACCAACATCTCTTGTATAGCCTTTACTTTTGCATGGTCCACCTGAATTCCCTTGTCACTGACAATGAAACCTAGCAGCTTGCCAAACCTTACCCCGAAGGTGCACTTATTCGGATTTAACCTCAGCTTGTACGTCTTCAACCTGTCAAACAGCTTTTGTAAATGATCAAGGTGTTCTTCCTCAGTTTGAGATCTGGCTATCATGTCCTCCACGTATACCTCTATCTCATGGTGAATCATATTGTGGAACAAAGCTACCATGGCTTGCTGATAAGTTACCCCAGCATTCTTCAACCCAAAAGGCATCACCTTGTAACAGAAAGTGCCCCACTGTGTGACGAAGGTTGTCTTCTCCATGTCTTTGGGTGCCATCTTGATCTGGTTGTAGCCAGAGAAACCATCCATGAAGGAAAATATTTTGTGTTGTACGGTGTTATCAACCAGAACATCGATGTGGGGAAGCGGGAAGTCATCCTTAGGGCTTGCCATATTCAGATCTCTATAGTCCACACACATCCGTATTTTATCGTCTTTTTTAGGCACCGACACTACGCTGTCCACCCATTGGGGATAAGAAGTGACAGCTAAAAACCCAGCGTTGAACTGTTTCATAACCTCTGCTTTGATCTTCTCTGACATTTCAGGGTGCATACGACGGACCTTCTGTTTAACCGGAGGACAATCTTATTTAGTCGGCAGACGATGTACCACAATATCAGTGTCTAATCCAGGCATGTCTTCATATGACCAGGCGAAGATCTCAACATAATTGTGCAACATCTGTACCAACCGCTGTTTGACACTAAGCCCCAGATTTGCGCCAATCTTGACTTCTTTTCTGTCTACCTTTGTGCCTAAGTTTATTGTCTCAACTGGCTCTTCGTGAGGCTGTATGGCCCTCTCTTCTTGCTATAACAGTCTAGCAAGTTCTCCAGGTACCTCACAATCTTCCTCACCTTCGTCCTCGGCTTGGTTGATCGGATTTTCGAAGTTATAACTGGAAATAGAAGAAATGTTATCAATGGGATCCATAGTGGATATGGATCTGCAGTTTGATATGTGAGTGTGTGTAAGAGCATAGCTGTATTGATAAAGTGAAAAGCAGAAAAGAAAAAACAGAGAGCACAAAATTTATGTGCAAGAATGTCCAATGTTTTATTGATGACATATGATAATGAAATATAATAACCTTCACAAATAAACCATTGTTCCTTGGGTAAGACGCAAGGCCATAGAGTTTATATTGTTTATTACAAATCCAGAAAACAAGTAATACAATTACTGCTGAACAAAAGTAATCGGCATAAAATCTTTGGCCGTCTAGTTACTAGGTCCACCGTTGGTAGTAGGGTAGATCCAGCTGTCAATATCAAAATCCTCATTATTGTCTTCTATAGCATTGACCCCACGATTGTTGATGCATAGGGGAGGTCCTCTAGCCCGAGCACGTCGAACAACCATTTGAGCTCCTGAAGTAAAGCCCAGACCAAATTTGTCAGTTATGTAAGGAAAATCAGGGAGCTTCCCCAGATGGTACACCCACCTTCTTCAACTACTTCTCTGGCGTCTTTGAGAGAAGCCATCTTCAAAGGAGGTCTGGTGATCTTCGGCACACTGGTGATAGTCTCGGTTAATGCCATAGTCTGGGGAACCTCTTCAAAATTTTGACAAGGGGTCTCTATGAACTCACCGTCCATCTCCACATACTTGAAAGAGTTCAGATGGCTTACCATGTACTCCTCTTCACCATGCACGGTGACAATCTTCCCCTTTACTGGATACTTCAACATTTGGTGCAGCGTAGAAGTAATAGCTACAACTTCATGGATCCAAGGACGACCCAACAAACAAGAATAAGACGGCCTGATATCCATCACATAGAAGGTGGATTCAAAGGTTTGGGAACCCACTTTGACAGGGATATCCACCTCCCCGTTTGTAGCGGTAAAATCAATGAAGTCGCCACTGAGTATTTATTTATCCCATATGAAAGGGAAAGGAAAATCATCGAAGAAAAACCTAAAGGGGAAATCAAGGTCTTGCGACCGAGAGATTGGGTAAGGGAGTCGATTACGCGAGAGGAAGGTATCAGCACCCCACACGTCCATAGTACTCTACGGGATCCACTCTCGTTATTTGAATCAAAGGGTGTGTTCAATCTAATGCTTAAGGGTTATAAACTAAGAGGGAGTGCATGCAAGGAAAAGAGAAAGAATGTAGGGAAAATAAAGTTGTACTCGCTTGGGCCCTACCCCAATGCCTACGTATCCTTTTTGAGGAATCAAAGCTACCGTAGTTCGGCTCATATATTTTGTTTGTTTTGTGTTTTTTATGGACAATATTAATTCCGCCTTCTGTCGCAGCTCAACCTTTGGAGACTTATGCATCGGCACAAAAGTAAACTAATCATGTCCTTACCTAAAAAGGGTTTTAGAGAAAAAGGTGCTTGAGCGTACAATATTGTTTCAATTGGTTTATATTTTATTACCTTGAAAAAGGGTTTAACTATGATTAGCATGTTTTTGATTTGCTAAAAAAAAGAAGTTTTTTTAGTTTTAAATGCAATTATGCAAAAAAAGGGAAGGAAAAGAGTCTATGGGAGACTATCCTATCTCTAACCTAATTTTATCATACAATGATAGTCCTATGTCAAGGATGGAAGGGGAAGTTTCTACCTACTGTTAGCATGCATGGTTTGCAATCTAAGGTCTAACTTGCGTTCGAACAGAGCAAGCACATCCTAAGGGAACATGGTATGTACAGGGATAAAGCAAACAAGCCAATAAGATCAAGAGAGCACCTAAAGATATCATGCCTAGGTTAGCATGCCAAAGAAAGTCTAACAAAACTATCATATAGGGAACATGCAATGAGAGCGAAGTCGTGATCTCAATTTCTAAATTGAGTGACTCATCGATCAACAAGAAAGAAAGGAAAGCGATAAAATCCTATAGGGAGCATGCACTGAGAGCGAAGTCGTAATCTCAATTGCTAAATTGAGTGACTTATCGATCAACAAGAAAGTAAACAAACACAAGCACAACACATATAGCAAATGAAGTGCGGAATTCCTGCTACAGATCTTTAAACAGCAATTTCGAGCGCACTCTCTTTATTTCCTACTTCTTAGGATATCTAGAAAGCGATAACGAAATGCGATAAAGTGCGGAGAAGTACAAGGGTAGTAGCGGAGGCTACCAAAGCAAGTAAGTCGTCAAGAGAAGACGAAAGCACTGAAAAAGCAGGGAGTACGCGTTGAGCAAGCTTCACCAAGAAACAAACAAAGTCAGAAACAATATCCAATTAATATAAAGGCAAACGCGTGTCGCGAATGCGGCGCATAATCGGAAATTCTGTTAAACCATTTATCATGCTAAGGAAATTGAATCGAGGATACGGGATCGATAAAAAATGCATTAAAACCCTAATTCTAAACATATGACAAGCATTAGCTCGATTAATTCCTAAACTAATAATAATAATAATAATAAATTGTGGAAAAAAATATCACCAAGTCAGAAATCAACATGTTAATATCCACACAAAATTTCAGTTAAAACTTGTAAAGGGAAGTATCAGAATTAATTGCTTTACAAAACAAAAATTTAAAAGAAACTAAGAATTAGTTGTGAGGTGTAGTGAACTGGAAAAGGGTGTAGATGGAGTGGGATGTTGAGCCCAATTTGCTAATCCTTTTTTGTTCATCTTTCTCCAGCCATGTCAAAAACGGATATCAGGCTTTTCTTACAATAATGGCCCAAAACATCTCCTATCCAGATCCACCAATAAAGCTAAAGAGAAAGGATTTGATACGCTGTGTTTTGTAAACCAAGTCTAGAATGTGACCGTTCCACTTCTTTGAACACAGACCCTTTTTCCTCTCTCAATCTCAACGACGCAGCTCTGATCCACTGTCGTTCTGATTCGATTTCGATCGCCTCCCTTTGCCTTCAGGCATTTTCGTTGCAACCTCTTCTACTTCGCATGAGAACTACGCCATCAGCTTCTTCGCGGATCTCCGCCGAATCTGCACTTCCATCGTCCGCTTCTGATTCCTTATCTTTATTAACAAAATTGCCTTATCTTTGTCACAACATTCGCTTTCATCTATCGCAGTCTCGTTTGCAATTCAATACTCCGTGAATGATTTGTTATCCGCCTCCTCTCTTCGGCCTCGATTCATACAAACAGAGATATGATATAAACAAAGAGAGTACTGAAGATTACCTGCCGGCAAATGTTCCAACGCGCCTTCAATCGACGGTGCTGAGAAGGAAACGGAAAAAGGTCTTCAATGAAAATTCGGTACGAAATCTTCTCCGTGAATCCTATTACTTCTTTGATTCTTTTTCACGCTTCTTCTAATTCCATTTTACTTCCTTTGGTGTTTTGTGTACACGATATTTGTTGTTGTTACTGATGCGTGTGATCTGGTTGGGATGTTGCAGAGAGAACTTTAAAGCTGGCGATGAAGAGAAGATGTTGAAATTGTCGCTGCAGTTCTGCGAATCTGTTGCAGGATTGCTATGCTTCCTCTTTCGATGGTGAAGATTGAGCAATGATTACGGAGTATTAGTTGATGACGATGATTGAAGATGCACCTTGATGAAGAATTGCAGGATCTTGAAGATGAAGGATTGAAAGTGATTATGATGGCGGAGAGTTTATGTGAGGAAGATAAAGGTTGGGGTGATGGAGGTTCCGTGAGTATGCCTTCAGCGAAGGATAATGAGTGAAGTTGTTGGAAGGTGGTGGTAGAAGATGAGTGAAGAAAAATGGAGAAAACGGTTGAGAGAAGAGAGGTTGCAGAGAGAACTTATGAAAAGGGTCAAGAATGAATTCATGAAATGATGGTTAACCTATTGAATGAAGATGAGTTTTGCTTATATAGGTTGATGAAGGTAGTGAAAACGGTTAGAGAAGAGAGGATCAGAGCCATTGATGATTGATAGTTTGTTAGAAGATTTAAGGGTCAAGATTGAATCGGTTAGGGAGGTAGTTACTTGGACTGAGAGTTAGTTGAGATTTTTGTTTTTCTATTTTTTGTGTTTCCACTGTTTGTGCAGCAATTTCAACTTCTCTCCCAGCATACTTGGGTAGAGCATTCAGAACATTATAGGGAATATTCCATTCCCTAAGCAGACCAGCTAAAAGCTCAGAATTCTCTACACTAGTTGTCCCAACCAAGACAGGACGCCCTTGTCTAAGCATATCTTCAACTTCTCGGTGAGCTTGCTCCCATTTCCCACGGGCAGTAGCAAATGCTTGAATAGGTAAGTCTTTACGAATATTAGGAAGATTTGTGGGCACATCAATGACTGGTGTTTGAACATTTTTAAGACCTCCTTCTCTTATGTGTTTGCAGTTCCAGTCATTCCTGACAATTTTGGATAAAGTTTGCATAATGACTGGTATGTGATTTGCGCCACGAAAGCAGAATCTACCTGAATCTTCAAACATTCCTTTGCCTCCACAGCCTGGTGAATCCCCTCAGACCATCTCCTTTTATCTTCAACTCTTCATGTCAACTTATTTATAATTAAAGCTTTTCCATCTCTAGCAACGCATTGCACATCTCGGCGACATAATTCTTTAGCTTTTATAGCATTCATCACAAATCTCGCCCAGGGATCATTTTCATCCCAAAGATCATTTGTTTCAAGAGCCATTTCAGCAAGAGCAATTTCGTCCTCGGTCAACTCCACCAAATTATTTTTTTGAGTTCCACTTTGTAATGAATGCCCTCTATCAGCAATTTGGCCATTTTTGCAGCAACAGGGCACCGTGCAGCATCTTGATTAGCCACTGATTAATAGCAGATTTCTTCCTTCATCTATCAGTACTGAACCCACCTCATCAACAATAGCAAAATGAAATGGCTTTGGCCATCTCATCACAAGCTATTCGCTATTTCCAGCAAGTTTATCTCTCAAGCAATCAAAGCCATGCTTCTAATATAAGAATGGAATGAAAAGAAACACAAGAAAGCATGCACTGTCAAGAAATGAATGCACAACAAAGCAGGTAACAATAGTAGCTGAAAATTGTAATTGCTGAATTATTCATATATATTATATCACATCCATAGTTGATTCTCCGTTCTGCAGAATTCATCCCCCTCTGAATAAGACCAACAGAAAGACCTAAGAAGCGATGAACACGCCCCATCCATTCAGCATCATGTTGAGATAAATAAACATTTGACAGTTACAACATGGACACCCTCAGCAGTGAGGGCATTAAGATATGCTGCTAGCGTGGAGACTAAGGTTTTCCTTAATAGATGTGGCGGCAATGGATACGGAATCGAAACTGCATTGTGGGTGCGTGGAGGAATGAGAGGGTCGAATGAGGAAGGAATTGGGGTGAGTTGAAGTGGTTCTACGAATGATGAAGAAGTGTGTGAATGGGTGTGAGAGTGTTGCCATTAGAAAAGGTGCGGTATTGTTGTGGTTAGAAGTTGAAGAGTGAAGAGAAGTTGGGTAAAGATGATGTTGTGTGAGGAAGGAGTGAAGTTTTTTTTTGATGTCTTTCAATTTTAATTTATGGACTTTGATGTAATATATTCATAAGTTGGATTGAAATGGTCACTTTTATGTAATTTTGAATGGTTGAAAGTGTATATGTTTTAGTTCTTGATTTTGTAATAGCCATAGTTGAATCAAGAAAAGAGTCTTTGAATTTATTCTCTTATGCTTACATCTTCCCAAAATGTATCTTGAATGAATCGCGATCCCTTCTTTAACCGTAAGTTCAAAATCTTCTTTTTGTATCTCAAACATAATCCAAATTCTAAGCAAAGCCAATTGATGAACCACTTATATTATGAGTACAAGAAAACCAGGAAAGTTATCCACAAGACATGCAACGTCTCTCGCATATATCTTGTTTCTTCAAGCAAGTTAAATGTCTTATCCTTGAATCACATTAAAAAAAATTATATTCCATGTTCATCTTAAGTCGACCCTTAATGTAACTCGAGCGTTCATGACAAGTCGAAACTCAATTGACTTCACATGGCATGCTTGGTCAATGAACCTCAATCTCAATTAGATCCATAAATTCTAGTCATCTTGCATTTGAAACAAACATCTTTTATGAGCTAAATAAGCTCCTGACCCTATCTTGAATCAACCGTTAACAAAGTCATGAACTTAATAAGCCCTTGAATCAATATTAACTCTGAGCATAATTAGAAGTTTCAACGAATCCAGATCACTAGTCATTTATCTCAATAGTCTAAGTTAACTTGCAATTGAAATAACAAATATTTGATGAGAACCAAAAACTGTATCGTTCAAAACAAGTCCACAATGTTGAAGAAGGAGAAACCCGAGATAACCACAAGATCGAGCCCTAATCCAATGATCCCCAATTGAAGCATAACAGAAGAAAACCCTAATTCGTAAGCATTGAAGAAAGATCACAACCTGATGCTGAGGAGAGAGAATACCCCTGTAGTTTGATGATAAAGAAGTCCAGGAAATAAAATCCTAATTCGAACAGATGATTAATGGAAAAATCAACCAAAACAAGCTTGTGCGAAGATAAGAGCCTTAAAGCCATTCAATAAACCTAATTCCCCGAAATCTCTGATCTCAAGCCGAACTATCGACTAATGATGCATGATGCGTCAGATGACCTAATGAAGGTTATGTACCTCAATCTCAATTAAATCCACAGATTCTAGCCACCTTTCATTTGAAGCGACCAACCACCATTCAAAGAGAGAAACCTTAATGCCAAAGCTCTTCGATCTTATAACCATGAGACCAATGCTATGTGAAAAATGTACAAAGTATAATGAGGGATCTTAGGGGCAAAAATTGGGGTACAACACACGTGCACCATTATTTTTGAACCGTCGAAAGCCCTCACCACAATGTTACTGGGCTTTAAAGTCAAACCTTCACAATCTATCCTATCAAGAGCCTTCTTATGAAGAACATTCAGTGACGATCCATTACCCACTAGCACATGGGCCATAGTAGTTCCCCTGCATTCGATCGAGACATGTATAGCATCATTATGCTTTCTCCCCTTGAGTGTCAAATCAGCATCAGAAAAACCCAACCCATTATCGGAAGTCAAACTGGCCACACAGTCCTTGAATTGGCCAGCAGAGGTTTCTTGCGGTACATGCACAGTCTTAAGAAATGTAATCAAAGCCTTTGCATGGGCCTCGGAACATAATAGCAGAGCCAACATTGATATCTTCCAGGGGGTATGCCCTAGTTGTTCGACCATATTGTAGTCGCTCTTCTTGATTATCTTTAAAATCTCCCCCATTTCTTGTTTAGAGGATTCCAAAGTAACTTCTCTAGGTGCCTTCGTCCGGGCAGGCTCACCTACAGCTTCTTTGCCCCGAGTCCCAGATGACTCGTCGGCAAGGATAACAACTGGAGTAAGGATGGGAGTAGTAGCAGAAGTACTAGCCGAAACAACAGATGGAATAACAACAGGCTTAGCAACAGTCTTCAGGGAGATCTCGGGAGAGAAAACCCTTCCACTTCGAGTAACTTTACTGGTCCCGACAATGTTACTGATATTGGGATCAGCCTCTTCAGCTTTTTCATCTTTAATGGTTAACAAATCCTGCTTGACGCCATGGTAGTAAACGTCAGCACCATAATTCTAAGGGACAACTTTGTCCGAGGATTATGGTACAGGGCCAGGAAAAGTGATTATTAATGGAGCAATTCTTAGAGCAGGTGTAATCCTAACAGGTCTTTTGGAGGAGACCTTGGAAGGATTGGCGGAAATGGTTATGATAGCAACATCTTCATGTAGAACAGTTGGAAACGGAGTCTTTTTTAACAAAATCTCTTTGTTATCCATCAGGCGTTGAACACCTGCTTTCAGCAAATAACAACCAGAAGGCAGAGATAAACACATGTGGCAACCTTCACCATAGCTCGGAAATAAATCGGCTAGCAACAAATTCTTCTTGACAGTCATGAGAGGAGTAGAAACTTCATCAACAAAAGTAACGAATAGATCCGTATCAACGACATTAACACCACGGTTGTGCTTGGGCATGGGAGCAGTTATGACATTAGGCATCTTAGGAGCATCAAACTCAATCTCCTTTGCTTCGATCAGATCTTGTATCTCATTCTTCAAAGCCCAACAGTCGTTTATATTGTGGCCTGGACTCTCAGAATGGTAAGCACATCGAGCGTTTGGATTATAGTGAGGAGATGTGGTGTTGGGGTTCTTGGGAGCCTCCTCTAAGGTTGTCAAATTTGATTTTAACAGATGGGGTAAAACCTCAGACAATATCATATTGATCCGGGTGAACTGCCTTGAGGTATTTCTACCCTTGGCTGATTATTTCGTTGTTGAGTAGCCACAGGCCTAGGTATCATCACAGCCCCTACCGTTGGACGATGCTCGGTTCTACTCTGACTTCTTGGATTGTAAATAGCATTGACCTCCTTCTTACCCGTGAATGGCATTTTCATTGTACTTGAAGAGGTGTCTTTCTGGATCTTGCCACTCCGGATCCCAGCTTCTACCCTTTCTCCAGTCAATATCAGCTTGGTAAAACCAGTTGAGGAGCTACCAATCAAGTGATTAAAGAACGGACCATATAGCATACCAAGAAACATGTCCACCAACTCCCTATCAAACAAAGGGGTTGGACTCTCCCTGCCAAATCTCTCCACTTCTGAGCGTAGTCCTTAAAACCTTCGCTTGCCCCCATAGACATACTCTGGAGCTGAGTACGGGTAGGAGCAAGGTCAGTGATATATTGATATTGCTTATAAAAAGCAGCAGCCAGATCTTCCCAGTTGCGGACATTGATTCCCTCCAGCTGATAAAACCATTCAAGCTGAGTCTCAGACAGACTATCTTGAAAGAAATGGACCCACAAGTTCCTATCATCAGTGTGAGGCTGAATCTTTCTCACATAAGAACGGAGATGAAGCTTGGGACAAGAAACCCCATCATACTTTGCAAATACCGGAACCTTGAACTTCTGTGGGGTGACAACCCCAGATACCAAACCCAGCTCTTCAAAATCCAGCCCTGGTACTCTTTGGATCTCCATGGCATTCAGACGATCCTAGAATTGTTACAAAGAGTGCCATTTAGGCGTACAATCAAACAAAATAAAACTTAAAGCAAAAAAGAAAATTAGGTTTCCCATAAGTGCATCCTCTTTGGTGTAATGTAGGCGTTTATATTCCTCTCTTCATGAAGTAGCCTAGTGAGTTCCATGACTTTCTTCTCGCTAGCATAGATATGAACTTCAAACGTATCCTGCTCCTCCTTAAGTTGAACCCAGGATTTTTGTAACTCCTCATGATCAGTTGGCATGTCAGGATGAAGAACAAGATAATGAGTGTCTCCTTTAGCAACCAGTTCCATAATTGTAGATAGGATGGCCGGGTAAGGCATCATAAGAATTTGAGCACGGGCTCGTACCCATTTGAGATAAGGCTCAAGATGGATGGAATTCTTGTGCCCCGGTGTCTTGCTATCACCTTTATGTACCATGCCCCAAGCTCGCATGAACCTTTTACAGTAACCCTGAGCATCATTCTCATAGTCGAAGGCGATTCCTTGGATAAGTGTATCATGAGGACCATCCCTTCTTGCATATCCAAACTGTCACAGTGCCAAACAAGGATTCTAAGTGATTCTTCCCCTAATGCCTACGAGAGGGACATTATGGAATTCTCCGCATCGATCAATGATGGTAACATTCTCCGAGGATCGAGGACACCAATGAATACCTGAATATGTAAGAGTCATTAGCCTATGAGACCATCTCAAACCCTGTTCATTCTTCAAGACGGATCGGGGTAGGTGAGAAATAAACCACCTAGCCAAAAGAGGAGTGCATCACATAAGGGTCCCTCTTTTCTTTATAGTGCGAGTATGCATAGAATGTAGGATGTCTCCAAGTAGAGTAGGTACTGAATTGCATGACAGGAAAACCTTAACTGCGTTCACGTCTATGAGCTGGTCCGGATTAGGAAACAGTACCAAACCATAGATGAGAAGGGCTAAAACCTCTTCAAAGGCTTGTAAGTACAGGGTATCCCAAAAATTATGAGCTTTGTTAAACAAGAACTTAGCCAAAAAACCCTTGACACCTCTCTTGGTTTCCCAATTTGCTAATACGTCATACCGTTGTAAGGATAGAGCTTTAGTAATATCTTCAGGTTTAGGGTCTCTTTCCATACCATTGAAAGGTACCTTGTTAAGGATAGGCACCCCCAGTAACATAGAAAACTCCTCCATAGTAGGCACTAACTGGTAATCTGGAAAAGTGAAGCAGTGATGTAGAGAATCAAAGAACTGAAAGAGCACTTTTAATATTTCTTCATCAGGGTTTGAGGTGATCAATCTGGGAAGTCGACCATGTCTTTCAGTGAAGGGATAGCTTTCAGGAACCCTTGATACCAACTCCTTAAGCTGAGGAGGTACCTTTACCAGACTGACTTGGATAGTGAATCTGCGGGCGAGGGCTATGTCCTATAAAACAAAACAAAAATAAACCCTAAGAATCCTAGAAATGGTTAGTATGATA